AGCACCACCCCACTCATGTTCCCAGTGACTAGCCCTAAGAGACACACTTCCTTTCCTTCTTTAAAAAAGGGGGGGGGTCTACAGACACCCTTATGACAAGCTGCACTTGCCCCCGAGTATTTGTCTAACTTCCTTTTAAAACTATTTGAGGCCCTTGCTACATTTTATAGAAATTAGTTCCATAATTTAACTCTGGGTGTTGTGAAGAAATTGCTGTTGTTGATGTTTAGTCATTTAGTCATGTCTGACTCTTCGTGACCCCATGGACCAGATCACGCCAGGCCCTCCTGTCTTCCACTGCCTCCCGGAGGTGGGTCAAATTCATGTTGGTAGCTTCGATGACACTGTCCAACCATCTCGTCCTCTGTCGTCCCCTTCTCCTCTTGCCCTCGCACTTTCCCAACATCAGGGTCTTTTCCAGGGAGTCCTCTCTTCTCATGAGATGGCCAAAGTATTGGAGCCTCAGCTTCAGGATCTGTCCTTCCAGTGAGCACTCAGGGTTGATTTCCTTCTGAATGGATAGGTTTGTTCTCCTTGGAGTCCAGGGGACTCTCAAGAGCCTCCTCCAATACCACAATTCAAAAGCATCAATTCTTCAGCGGTCAGCTTTCTTTATGGTCCAGCTCTCACTTCCATACATCACTACAGAAAAAACCATAGCTTTGACTATGCGGACTTTTGTTAGCAAGGTGATGTCTCTGCTTTTTAAGATGCTGTCTAGGTTTGTCATCGCTTTCCCCCCAAGAAGCAGGCGTCTTTTAATTTCCTGGCTGCTGCCACCATCTGCAATGTCCTTTCCCAATTTTCAACCAATTAGTTGTTCCCTATCCAGTTCTAACTGTTGCTTCCTGTCCCATATATAGGTTTCTCAGGAGATGGATAAGGTGGTCAGGCACTCCCATTTCTTTAAGAACTAGTGAAGAATTAGTAGGCGGTAATTACTGCAGACTGGCTAAGGCCAAGATATTGCATATATTATATCAAATTATTGATCAGCTTTTCTCATAAAGTTTAGAGATATTGTTACTTGACTCCTATACCACTATTGCTCAGAAGTTCCTGATTCTAGGACAAGAAAGATTAATTATGCATATTTTCTTCTCACACAAGAATTTCAGGAGGTAGCTCACAGACAGTTTATTTGTGAGCTGCAAGACCCTAATTCTATACATTCAATCTGCACAGCTGGCGAAGCGTGTGACAGGCATGCAGACACTTCAAAAATATAGTATTGCTGCATCACCTCAGCTGTGAGCAGAGCTCTCTCTTTGCTTCTGCCTTAAAGGGCAAGTCAATAAGGTACATATACAGCAGTCCCTGCATTGCTGCCTTGTATTTCTATCACTGGCCGTCAGAGAGACCTGGTTGGAAGGGGGCAATTGCTACTTGCCACTGCTGATCTGGCAATTTACAAATTATAAGGTCATGCTAATCCTTGCCAGCTGTCATAATTCAACAAAGTAGGACAACAAGGAGAAAGTCAAGGCAAATTTCACTGTCAGCTACATGGGAAATGCTATGAAAAGCCGAACCCTTCCTATGCCTGGCATCTCCAGCCTAAGGGCTTCCTCGAGCACACAGCCAAGAATATGCCAAGACTGTTGGTTAGCTACCTCTTGGGAGTTGTCAGGTGATAAAACAATGCAAGTTCCCCTGCCAAATGCTTGTTAAATTTGTAGAGCAGAACACTCCTGGACAAAGTTAATACAAACATACTGAATCTCAAACATCAGCTCTACACTAGAATATATAAATGCTCTGCATTTCCTATAGAAATAGTAAGGCATATAAACAGTGATTCAATCAGAAACCTTTTTATTTGTGTATCTCAAAATCCTAAAAATTTCTAACAAATTCTAAGAAGCTGAGTTTCTGCATGGGCCAGCTGTTTGCCTCATGCTTGGCCGGAAGCAAAGACCAATCTCTTATTTACAGGGTTGGAGTCGTTTGGCAAATTTGTGTAAGGAAGGTTTGTTTAGACTACTGCCACATAAAAGAAGTAACTACTCTGCCAATCTCTTTACATGTTTAAGTTATAGCTATCTGACTTTGGGGTTCTTCCTGAAGGGATAAAAAAAGGAATATAAATTATTTATTTATTTATTTGATTTGTATCCAGCCCATCTGGTCTATGCGACCACTTAGCATATGATTACATCAAAGGCAGGCAAGCTTTGATCTTCCAGATCTTTTGCCTTAAACTTCCTTTAGCCCAAATGAGAATGGCCACAAATAAAGGATTATGGGAGGTGCACTAACCCTGATTTACACACTGCAATCAATAATATCATAGGCTCAAATCCTACTATTTATGTAGATCGGTGTAACTCAAATTGCATAAATTATAGCACCAAATTGCCAGTAGTTAAGGAGCCAAGGCTTGTATTCCTCATCATGTACAACTTGTAACAGAGTATTTGAGAAAGAATACAAGCCTTGACTTGTTAATTAGCAGGAATTTGTCAGTGTAATTTACTCTGTTTGAATTGCACAGCATATGTAAGTAATAGGATACTGGCCAATGTCTCTAATTCAGTTATTCTTCTTCACTGGTACTCAGTGGATTCCATTCAAATTACTGATTTTGATCTTTAGAGCCTTAGAGCAGTAAGACACATGGGCAGTCTTATCCTGCTTCAGATCTCAATATTTAACAGAACATTTTCTCTGCACATTCCAGATAATTCAAGATGAACTAATGGGTTAAAACACAGCCCGTGCCTGCAACTTCAATGAACCATGGTTTATATCAGCCATGATCTGTTGCTTTAGCCACTGATTTTGATCTTTAGAGCCTTAGAGCAATAAGACACATGGGCAGTCTTATCCTGCTTGAGATCTCAATATTTAACAGGCTTTCACGGCCAGGATCTAATGGTTGTTGTAGGTTTTTCGGGCTCTTTGGCCGTGTTCTGAAAGTTGTTCTTCCTAACGTTTCGCCAGTCTCTGTGGCTGGCATCTTCAGAGGACAGCACTCTGTGGGTCCTCTTGGGAGTTTTCAGATGATAAAACAATGCAAACAGATAAACGACTGCTGTCCTCTGAAGATGCCGACCACAGAGACTGGCGAAACGTTAGGAAGAACAACCTTCAGAACATGGCCAAAGAGCCCGAAAAATCCACAACAACCAAATCATGATTTGCTTCCCCCATTGCTGGTCAATTTCTCTCCTGCTCCTTTTGTTAGCCTCCATTATAGGGTGAGCATCTGTGGAAACAAAGAAGAAACAAAGTATGGTTCTGACTGTAAATGTAACCTAGGCCATTGTCTAAACAAGCCAACATTTGTAAGCCAACAACAAGCCATGGCTTCTAATTGTGGTTTGTGAATGGTTGACAAACCACTGCTTTTGTTGTAATGGGTTTGACATGAGACGTCAGAACTCAATGAGTCACAGTATTGTCCAAGTAGACTGTCCAAGAACTCAAGAAACCGAGATTTAAGTTCCTTTTCAAACTGAACAGTCTTGATCAAGTGGTACTTGGTAGAAACAAACTAGCGACCAACTTACGAAGTTTTGCATTATAACAAATGAAAGATATAAATTACACTGCCAACTCTGAACTTCAGGGGAGAATGAAAATCTAATTATTTATGCATGTTTATCTAGGAATTAGCCCCACTGAGAAAAGTGGGTTTTACTTTTGATCAAATAGGCATACAACTTTGTTAATTATTTCAACTGCACATTTAACCTCCTTTGCACACTGAAACTCACTCAAAAGTAACCATTTTTTAAAAAGTTCCCACACAGCATAGTGTATTGCATATTGAGAATGAAAATCTAATTATTTATGCATGTTTATCTAGGAATTAGCCCCACTGAGAAAAGTGGGTTTTACTTTTGATCAAATAGGCATACAACTTTGTTAATTATTTCAACTGCACATTTAACCTCCTTTGCACACTGAAACTCACTCAAAAGTAACCATTTTTTAAAAAGTTCCCACACAGCATAGTGTATTGCATATTTCTAGAGCACACTGAAACTCACTCAAAAGTAACCATTTTAAAAAAAAGTTCCCACACAGCATATTGTATTGCATATTTCTAGAGCAGTGGTTCCCAACCTTGGGTCCTCAGATGGTCTTGCACTAGAACTCCCAGAAGCCTTCACCATTAGCTGTGCTGATCAGGATTTCTGGGAGTTGCAGACCAAGAATATTTAGGGGACCCAAGTTTAGGAACCACTGTTTCATTAGCTGTGCTGATCAGGATTTCTGGGAATTGCAGACCAAGAATATCTAGGGGACCCAAGTTTGAGAAACACTGTTCTAGAGAAACTGTGATTCTTATCTATGACAGACTACTGCCCTCGCATCATAATGCTGGAATAACTCTTACATTGCTAATGTGGATCAGAGTCCACATTCTATCTCTATATATTCACAGAGGAGAGGAAAATAACCATGCTTTTACTATTTGTTGCAAATATGGCAGAATAAAAACCATTAAGGAATAAGAGAGCTACATAACCATGCTTTTACTATTTGTTGCAAATATGGCAGATCGCATCATAATGCTGGAATAACTCTTACACTGCTAATGTGGATCAGAGCCCACATTCTATATACTGTATATATTCACAGAGGAAAATAACCATGCTTTTACTATTGGTTGCAAATATGGGAGAATAAAAACCATTAAGGAAGAAGAGAGCTAAATTAAGATTGCATATGCATCCTTAAAATACTGCAGCTGAGAGATAGTTCACATTAATTAATACAGAATTGTATAACGCACTTCTGCGCACATACACTCAATGAATCTCACAAAGTGTAACAGGGATCTCACAACGTGCAACAGGCCTTACTCCCAGTCAGGTGGGTATGCGACAGACACCTAAATATTATTTTATTTGATCTGCTGGAAGATTCAAGAGACCTTGACTCCAATTCAACAACACCATGACAGCACTGAAAAAATCTTGGATATGCTGCTGCATCTAAGCATCAACTTGCCGGTTCGAAGAACCGAAAGCAACTAGAAAGCGACCTACCTCACAAGATCGCTGTGACGACCCGCAAGGCTCAGAGTCATGTTGCTACCGAAAAGCAATTTCCACGGGTTATCCATGGGACCTGGTCCCAAGCAAAAGGGGGCAGGATTCTAGTTGAAAACCTTTTCTGCAGACACGATGATGAACGTGTGTATCCGGCTCACGGCTGTCATGAGCTTCGGAACAAATTCTATACACCCCCCCCGCGGGAACTCCTTCGCCTAGGATCGGAGCCTCCCTCCTCCTCAGCACCCTCCTTCACGCAATGAGGCCACCAAGACCAAGACGTTTCCCGTAAGTAAGGTGGAGCGTGCCCACAGTTAAGGCGGCGACCCTGACAGGGCGAGGAGCCCTCCGCCGGCTGCCCTTCCCGGCAGAAGGATCCGGGAGCCACCCCTTGGCCGACTTCTCCCGGCCCTTTCCCGGCTACACTCCCCTCACCCCC